AAAAAGGTCAACCAGACATCTAGAAGTTTCCTTTCACTAAATTTAGCTGTTACAAAGAACATTGTTTTTCCTTCCTTTTATTGAGAATCTTTTAAGGCTTCCTCACAATTAAGCACAAACAAAAGTTTAGCTTGAGAAATTATCCGTTTGGGCGTTATGTGGAGCTCGCCTTGAGCCAAGAATGTTGCTGATTTCCGGCGCAGGGTTCACTTTTACGTAAACAATGATGAATAGCTTCACAATGCTTTACATCAGTTCACAATTTTTCATCGTCTTATACCAAGCAGTGATCAAATCTTGTAGTTCTCCGCAAAAGAACAATACAAATTTAAACATGCCGGTTGCCGAGGCGAAATGGAAAGAAGAGGTTACGATCACCAAAGGAATTAACTTTGACACAAATTTTCCCGACTGGTGCAACACGAATGGTATAGAGACAAGTAAGGAGAGTTTGTAAGTTTATCGCCGGGCGGAAATTGAACGGATTAACCATTCGAACTCTTATCTGCTACTTTTCTGATAGCGCAGCAAATCACAATGATAGAGTTTTCTTTGATGTGTTTGCTGCTGGTTAAGGAAATCACCCAACATTGTGCGACAAAGATCGAGAGGAAGAGCACTGATTTAGCGGTTTATTGAGTACTGTAAGCTACAATTAGAAATTTACTAAACTGAAGGTAAATCAGTTAATTTTGATAATCTGACAGAATTTCCCCCTCTGAACCCAAAGAAGCATAACAAGTATGAGTTTGGTCAACCCGGCACATTCATTATCATACTAATGCACTGGTTCAATCAGAGGTCTAAAATTATTTTGATAAAATTTGCAAAGGGTTTAACAAATAAAACTTGTACGTACTTACAGTCGCTCTGTGTTCAATCTCAGGACACTCCAGAGTCTTTGAAGCTCTCTCGTCTCGTTTGGTAACGTTCTTGACGCAAATTAATTGCAAATCAGCTGAAACTGACAGTAAACTTGTGCGAGTAAAGCGTTATATGATCTGTCTACATTCCGAACTGGCTGCAACTTGAAAGACTTGTGGTCATGATATGACCAAGAATCGAGAGACCACCTTCACGAGATTAATCCAACTGAATACGGGATTCCTGTTAAGTGTTTCGCAGTTGGAGAATGAACTATTAGTTTTTTTTTGTAATTTTTTTTCTTAATAAACGTTAAAAAAGTAAAATGACAATTGTACGCATATAGCGCAAGTGTCTTCTGAATTTCAGATGTGCTAAAGTCTGTTGCAAATTAAATTATGAGCAAAGCAGTCGATCATACTATGAGGAGAGTGCCAAAGGAGGCGGGGGAGGTTAATCCCATTTCCTATCCCACATCCCATTTGCGAGAGGACAAAATTTTATGTTAGAACTGTTTCGCGGTCGTTATTGCATAGCTATTGCCTCAGCAGTCGCAAATTATTGCCTGATGCGATAAGGTAAGGAATGCGCAGTGAAGATGTGACTGCAATTACTGAGAACCTGTCGGATACAAGCCTGGACACAAGCTGATTGACTCACCCATGGTAGCTACTTTTGAGAAGCTCATAAATAATAGAAAGACTGAATGGTGTCTCCCCCTACCCCCTCCTCCATGCCTTCCCGACAAAAATGAATTATACTCCCTTACTGCAAAGAAACATTACAATTGCCTTTAATATTTTGCCTTCAATACACAACCGAAGGTTGTGTTACATTACACACACAAAGGTTATGCACGTTTTAACTGACACAACAACGTTTCAACAAAGTGGATAAATGATACATCAAATAACATCCTACATGCGCCAATGCCGGACACTTAAACCCCCAAAACCTCTAATTAGGAAAAAAGGGACCGTGTACCCCCGACCAAATGCAGTGGCGCAACCTTTGGGGTTTTTAGGTTGATATACAAACAACAGAAACTAAGAGAAATAACTAAGAAAATAATTACAGCTTAATGTTGTACAGCTAGAGAACGCTACACACTGTCTAAGTCAATTGTATCATTTAACCGTCACGCAATTTTCTACCAATCTGATATGAATTTTTAAAAACAAAAGCAAGTGTTGAATGCCTTAAGAAAACTTGATCATGTTTTCCTTTTGAAAATCAGCCACAAGCTACAAGGTAACCTACGCCATGACTGTGTGATAATAGGTTTTTGGCCTGGGAAAGCACTTCTGTAAAAACCTCGGGAAACTCTCTAGCTGCGGGGATCAGTACAGGAATCTGTTACGGGGAATTATCTTCAGAGACATCAACAGCACTCAGAACGTAGGTCCAACGATATCGTTTTAATCCAAGAACATAT